TTTCAGTTTTTTAGATCAGGTAATTTCTAGGAGGTCGCATAAAAATTAGAATGAGTCCCGCTTAAAACCCTTACCTGAACCTTTTACAGGTAATCCACAAAAGATTGTGCAGGATAGCTATATTAAAAAATATATGAATTTATTATCATAACACTTATGTCTTCATACATATAGCATTCATTTTCGTGTGAATGATAAGGTAAAATATTCTCTTTGTGTATACTATTGCATCAGTAGAGTAAGAAATCACTGCTACAGTTTGTTGGGCGAAAATTTGTATCGTTAATAACTTTTCTTTAATAACTTTTCTTGAAATTGATCGACTTGCATGAAATTTAACACAAAATTAGATATTTAGATGAAAACTACGTGTGCACGGTTTACTTCACGTAGCTTTTGAAATGTGGACACGATTGACGAAATGCTGTAGCGGAGGGACGAAATCCTAAAAATAAACATTAACTCGTGTTGCCTGTATATTAGGAGAGTCCACATAGCAAGTTGGTTCACGTTGCTTTGAAAGTGTTGACCAGACAACTGCAAAGAGTACTATATTTTCATTCATACTCGAGTATTTACCCTTACTCGGTATGATTATTTCATTTGGGTATAGTAACAAGCAATGTTTGGTTTTAAACGAACCCTCACCAACCAGTCAGTTCGACTCAAAACTGCAAAAACTCAGGATGAGCGGTTGCGGCCGAAACTTTTTGCCTGCGTGCAAGCAATGATCGACCGTCGTATTTATAATCATACCTGCATGACCAAAATATTCGCCTCAGTACTAATTCGCGAATCATGGCAACCGAGTAATGATCTCGGTGCATGTATTTGCATTTGAATCCAACCAAACTATTAGCGAAAAGAAATACTTTCCTTTTTATTTAAATATGATAGTTATGATATTTGATATGATATTTGAGTTCCTTTTTTATGAAATAAAATCGTGCTACATATCATAATATGAAAATCAATAAATATGTTTTGTATTAATTCGAGATCTAGGTGTTCATACGGACAGACGGACAAATAGGGCTAGATCGACTCGTCTCGTCATGCTGATCAAGAATATATATACTTTGTGGGGTCTGCCACGCCTCCTTCTACCTGTTACATTTTCAGCTCCCTCAAACCTAATATACTCTTGTACATTTTATGTACAGAGTATGTTTGGTTATGCAGTCGCCACAGCCAAAAGGCAACAATTCATCATAGATACATTTGTTTAATTCGATTATAAAATCACTCAATTTGTAATCTTGCTCTGTGCAGCAAGTTGAGCCATTTAACGTAAACTTAACTCATTGTTTGCTTTGTCGCTCAAATTCTTATTTTTCCTTACGCATTTTTCTTAATTTGCTATAATTTTGCCTAAGGTTCTGCACTGCTGCAGCGGCCGAATCTTTCTTTTACTTGTTAATCAACTGTCAAATCGCATCGTTCGTTGCTCGCTTGTGTCGGTACGGCAAACCCTAGTTTCCGTCTACTAGACCAATTTTTACATTTCAAATGCACTTCGGCAATTGTTTAATAAATTGAATTGCATTTCGGCAATTAACATTTACATAAGTTTGTTTTTCGTCTCTTAATAACGAACTTGTACTATTTGAATCGCAACCAAGCACTTATAAATAAATAGAATTTTTAATTCGAACAATTTCGCACCGTTGAATATTAATTCTTGCCTATTGTTAGTTATAAAAAAGCCTATAACTACACAGAGTATAAAAATAAGAAAAAACCCGTACCAGAAGACGTTATCGCGCTTTTGCAAACGCCGGAATTTTTAAACAGATAAATTTGATCAACAGAGCGACGAAGAGATTAAGGAGGAAGATGAGGAAGAGAATCAGGAATGGAATGATGAAGGAGAAGGCGATGAACATGGACTTGATGTTATGTGTTCCGATGAAGAATATATATATTTTGATCAAAATTAAGTTTACTTTCCTTGTAAGTACTATATCAAAAGTACTTCACCCCTATTTTTTAAGTGTCTTTAATTTCAGATATGTGTTCCTATCAAGTCGGCTTATAGCGGCTATATGCAAAATCTATTCCTATTCCTGAATAATATATTTAAGGACCTTGAAATGGGCCTATAAATTAATACACAAGCCATGAGCTTTAAGAACATTTTTTTTTTGCTGCAAATCGTCGATATTGCATAATGGATATATTAACAAGTAAAAAAGCTAAAGTCGGGTGTCCCGACTTTGAAATACTCTGTACATATGTTTACAATAATTATAGAAAATAAAAAAAAATTAAGAAAAAAAAAAAAAAAATTTGATCGATTTTACCTCTCTCGGTATTCGAACTCACGTAAAGGGTGTATAATTGCACATTTACATAGCAATTGCGTCTGTGTGAGTGTATGTATGCCTATGCGCATCAATTCGTGTCTGTGTAAGCATTTTCGCAGTCAACCAAACAGCAACATCAACAACAGCCGCGGGCAGCGCTTGAGCAGCGCTGCAGCAGCGCTGCATCAGCAAATATATTTATGGCTATAACTTCTTGTTAAATCGGTCTATCATAATGAAATTTGGCATACGGACACATAATAACTAACTGGGGGTATTTCCAAAATTTTAGTTCGAAATTCCAAGAATTACGGGAGTTACGATTTGTGGGGTAGAGGGGGGAGGGAGGGGAATTCCAAAATATACATTTTCTGCGTATTCACATAAGGCATCTGGGACTAAAATTTGGTGTTCCTAGGTCTTATAGTCTCCGAGATATAGGCGATTATACGAATGGAAAATCGGGAAAACCCCCATAGGGGGGAAGTGGGGGGGAAAATCAAAAAAATAAAACAAACTCGTATAGAATACACACATAAGGCATCTTTGTGCAAAATTTGGTGTCTCTATCTCTTATAGTCTCTGAGATCCAGGTGTTCATACGGACGGACAGACGGACAGACGGACAGACAGACAGACAGGGCTAGATCGACTCGTCTCGTCATGCTGATCAAGAATATATATACTTTGTGGGGTCTGCCACGCCTCCTTCTGCCTGTTACATTTTTCAGCTCCCGCAAACCTAATATACTCTTGTACATTTCATGTACAGAGTATAAAAATTGTTCAAAACGAAGAACAAGCTTCTTCTTGGGATGCCAAAATATAAGTTTAAGCCAAATTTGGGTTAAATATCTCTAAAATATACATATAATTTTACGTGTTTTTCACGCCTCCTTCTGGGTATGTACATTTACCATTTGGGTAAATACAAGGTGTGTTCCAAAGTAAACAGGACTTTAAAAAAAAACAAGTAAAAAAGCTAAAGTCGGGTGTCCCGACTTTAAAATACTCTGTACATATGTTTAGAATAATTATAGAAATTAAAAAAAAAAATTTTATCGATTTTACCTCTTTTGTTATTCGGACTCACGTAAAGGGGGTATAATTGCACATATACAAAGCAATTGCGTCTATGTGAGTGTATGTATGTTTATGCGCGTCTATTCGTGTCTGTGTAAACATGTTAGCAGTCAACCAAACAGCAACATCAACAACAGCCGCGAGCAGCGCTTGGGCAGCGCTGTAGCAGCAAATATATTTATGGCTATAACTTCTTGTTAAATCAGTCTATCATGATGAAGCTTGGCGTACGGACACATAATTACTAACTGGGCGTATTTACAAAATTTTAGTTCGAAATTCCAAGAATTAAGGGAGTTAGAGAAATCGCGATTTGCGTGGGAGAGGGGGGAGGGAGGGAAATTCCAAAATACACATTTTCTGCGTATTCTCATAAGGCACCTGAGATTAAAATTTGGTGTCCGTAGGTTTTATAGTCTCTTAGATATAGGCATTATATGAATGGAAAATCGGGAACACCCCCATAGGGGAGAAAAAAAAACATAACGCATCTTTGTGCAAAATTTGGTGTCTCTACCTCTTATAGTCTCTGAGATCCAGGTGTTCATATGGACAGACAGATAGACAGACAGACAGGGCTAGATCGACTCGTCTCGTCATGCTGATCAAGAATATATACTTTGTGGGGTCTGCCACGCCTCCTTCTGCCTGTTACATTTTCAGCTCCCGCAAACCTAATATACTCTTGTACATTTTATGTACAGAGTATAAAAACTGAACAAATGGTTTTTTCGGCAAAACCAATTTATTTTATTCAAAATAGTCTCCTTCTGCTACAGTAGGCCGGTGCAAGCCTTGTGAATGGGCTCTACGTCTGCATAACGCTTTCCTTTCATGGGCAAATGCATTTTTCCGAAAAGGTAGAGGTCGAGTGGTTAATGGTTAATATGTGATTTTTGGTCAAATAATCGGTCTCAAGCGTCGATCGATTTCGAGCAATTTTTGGTCGTCAGTTAATATGTGCGGAACAAACCGTGCACACACCTTTCGTAAGCCCAAATGTTCGGTCAATATGCGATAAATCGATGTTTTGGAGATGTTCAATTCCATTTCCATCAATTTCAATGATGATTTCGGCTGATTTTTGATGAATTCACGCACAGTTTCGATGTAATTTTCGATGATAACGAATTTTGATTGGCCCACATGTTGATCGTCATTTATGTCCTCACGACCACTTTGAAAACGTTCAATCCACTCGTGCACTCTGCTACGGGATAGGCAATCATCGCCATAAACTTGTTCCATCAATTGAAATGTTTCGGTAAAAGTTTTACCAATTTTAAAACAAAATTTAATGTTGGCTCTTTGTTCGAAGCTCATTTGCGCACCGATAACACAAATATACTGACACTTAAAACGCAATAACTTCACTTCCAATCGATGAAATGACATGAAATTCTCACTGGACAATCGATAAAGATATCAGATTCTAACGCACCAGTCGACATATAGATAGCGCTACCAGAGGCCTCTAGATTCAAAAAGTCCTGTTTACTTTGGAAAACACCTTGCAAATAATCAAAATAGTACAAATACAACATACACGAACTTTACTACTCATACAAATACATATATACATATATATAAAAACGTCCAATAGTTAATTACCTGGGTATTGCGCATATTGCAACAAAGAGATTCCAACTGTGGTAAGTAAAAACACTAAATTGGAGATTTATTTGCAATGGAATTACACTCCACGCGATTCCTGAAAAAATAATAAAATGTAGAGCTGAACATATCTTATGTACATATTTTACAGACAGTATTTGTGCTTATAATTATACGTATATTTATTTACTATTTGATATTTCTCTTCCGACACTCTCTAAAGTTTCTAAAGAGTTCATTTCCCAAATAGCAAAATACTTTGGTACTATTCGAGGGCATACAGTACAATAAATACTATGTATGATTATATGTGCATACATATGTATATAGTACGATAGATAAATAAAAGAGAATTATTTGTTTGAATTATTAGTGTCCAAAAATTAAGAAAAACGTGTTGACTATTAGGTTCTTGGTTTTCTGATTCAAATATTAAATCACTTTTGAAGCCCTAATTCCCTTTTTATCGGAACTATAAAAATTTCTATCCTTAAAAAGCGGATTTAAAATAACCTCAGCAAATGAAGTGGATAAACGCTTATTTACTCACCCTGTACCCAAAGGGTAAAACGGTATACTAGTTTTCTGCGAATGCTGTGCCGCAGCTGTTGTTGTTGCTGCTTTGGTTCCACTTTGGGCAGCATACATACACGCATATAAACACGAAGAGACACGATTCTAACGAAAATGTATTGTTTGGTCATCCGGCCAAAAACAGCCAAAACCGGCAGCACATCATAGTTAATAAGTAACGTAAATAACTCAATACAAAGTGCTCTTTTTCTTGTCACTTGCTTTGCATAGCAAGCTGAGCACTTAACGTTTCCTTTTGTTGCTTGCCATAAATTTCCATAGGCTGCTGCGCAGCCGCCACATATGTACTAGTTATTGTCGCTAACTCTGCAAGTTAAGTTCGTTTTCGTTATCGCATCTGGTACGGAGAAGCTTAGCTTTCCGTCTACCAGCATAAACCTTGTAAATCTCGGCGATCGCTACCTATGCAAAATAAACATTTGTGAACCTCTTTTAAATTGAACAATTTCGTTTTCGCTTATTTTGCAATTATTTCGCCAACATAATTTCGCATATTTGGAATCATAAAAAAGCTTATGATTATATATTTGGTGACCCCGACGTGATTAATAATTCCACAAAACCTTGCTTAATCGCGTTAAAAAACAAAAGTGGACTTAATTGAGTTCATGTACACAAAAAAGATTCGAGTACATACATAAGTGCAAAAGTATAAGTTCAAAGTGCCTACTGTACCGCCAATAAGCAGCCGTGTGAAGCGACGTTTATGAGGGCAACGAAACATCAGCAGATAAAACAGTTATTCGCGCGCGTCATTTATCTCTGCTATTTTCGGTTCTCGTTCTCTCTCGCGTTCATAATGTCTGAAAGCGACGGTCAAATGCGCGCTTACCAAGCTGTCGCATCAGCTGCTGCTGACGTAGCTGATGCAGCGACGCCTGCGCCAACAGCTTCGACGTCAACAGCTGTGGGCAATGCAGTGCAGGCTACAAACAATAATGTTGAGTTTTATAAGCGCAAGGCGCAATCATTATATGCGTGGGCGCTTTCTATTCAAAATAAAATAAATGATTGTGAAATTGACAATATTTCAGAAAGTGAGCTGCGAAAACGTGTGGAAATGCTGCAAAGTATTCAGGCCTCTTTTAATTTGGTGCATGACAAATTAGAGGAGCTGGACTTTGATGAGATTGGCAGCAGTTTGCGCTGCAACTTCGCTGAGCTGGTGGTCTGCTTGGAGGGCCGGTTTAACAATAAGCGTCTTTTTTTCCAGGCACACATCCGAGATTTAGGGCATTAAAAAGGCTGAAACTACAAGCAAGCTGCGAGAGTTGTCCGACAAAGTCAACGCAAATATGCGTGCACTTTTGAGCTTGGACAATATGCAAGATGGCAGCATCGTCGTTCAGACAATCTTGGGCAAGGTGGATACTGCGACACAGGCAAAGTGGGAGGAAGCCGCCCCATTAAACGTCATACCGTCATGGGAGCAATTTGCGACGTTCTTGGATAGCAGGTGTCAAAAATTGGAAAACATCGAGCATGCAATGGCATCATATTCGTCGAATTATCAGGTGGGAAAGAATAAAAACACTAACACCAAACGCTCCTTTGTCGCCACTAACCCATCCGCAAATGGTTATCCGTTTTGTGACAATAATGCACACGAAATATACAGTTGCCCACTTTTTGGTAATTTGTCGCCTGTACTTCGTTTAAAGGAAGCAAAACGCCTCTCTCTGTGTATAAATTGTCTTAGAAAAGGACACAGAATGAGAACTTGCAATTCTGGATCTCAGCTCAGATGTTGTGCTCTTGTCTGGTCTTGGTGACGTCAGTTTCAAGTCTGATGGTTGCACTGTGCACTTATGCGTGCAATCATTGGTCACTGACTATTCCGCAAATATTACTGCTTTGGTCGCTCCTTCCATTACTGAAAACCAACCAAATTTCACGGTTGACATATCTCATTGGAATATACCAAGCAATGTCCGCTTAGCTGATCCGGCGTTCTTCAAGCCACAGCAAATTTATATGCTTACCGATAATTTATTCTACGAGTTGTTGTGCGTAGGTCAGATTAAACTGGCTGATGGCCTGCCACTTCTGCAAAAGACTCGTTTTGGCTGGATAGTTACTGGAGGTGGCTCGCAGCGTCAGAAATCTGCTTTGGTTGCATCCAAGTCTCCGTCTACACAGGATTTTAATACACGAATCGAGCAGATGGTTCGTTCTTTTTGGGAACTCGAAAGTGGTGTCGATCCGGCTGTAAAACTTACAAAAGAAGAGTTCGACTGCGAGGAGCATTTCAAGGCTAATTACAGGCGCTTGCGTACTGGCGAGTATTTCGTCCGACTGCCTGTAAAGCTCAGCACAGATCTGCTTGGCGATTCCTATACGCAAGCCTATCGACGGTTTATAAACTTAGAGCGAAAGTTAAAACGCAATCCACTTCTCAAAATACAGTACTCTGCATTTATTAAGGAGTATTTAGAGTTGGGTCATATGTCGCTTGTATCGCCAGTTTCGCTAAACTTGTGCAAGTATTTCCTTCCGCACCATTGCGTTCTGAAGGAGGACAGCACAACGACAAAGTTGAGAGTCGTGTGTGTCGGTTCCGCATCCACATCCTCATTCTTTAAACGACATCCTAATGGCTGGTCCTTCCATTCAGTCAAAGCTCGCAAACACGCTTGTTCGATTTCGCACGTTTCCTATCGCTTTAACAGGAGACATCTGCAAGATGTACCGCTGCGTGCGAGTATCAAATCCGGATAGCTATTTTCACTGCATTCTATGGCGTGACTCGCCTCAAAAGCCTATTCAAGTTTTCGGTCTTGATACCGTCACTTACGGTACAAAGCCTGCCTCGTTTCTCTCCGTTCGCACTATGCATCAGCTGGCTGAAGATGAGCATGAGCTATTTCCTATTGGCTCCGATATTTTGCGTCGCGATTTTTATGTTGATGATTTAATCACTGGTGGTGCTTCTACAAACGAAGTCATAGAAATTATGAGACAAACCACAGGGCTACTTGCCAAGGCTAATTTCAAGCTAAGGAAGTGGTGCTCCAGCAATCGTGATGTGCTCAAACAAGTTCCGGAAGAGGACAAAGAAACTCTAGTTAAGTTTGATGATGGCAGCGACATCACAAAAACTCTAGGACTGTTGTGGGATCCTGCAACGGACTTATTCATCTTCACGTTTCTGCCAACATTGACATCTGGCCGAATTTGCAAGCGCACTGTTTTGTCGACTATTGCCAGATTTTATGATCCGCTTGGCCTTATTGGACCAGTAATCGCAAAGGCTAAAATATTCCTGCAGGCGCTTTGGAGAGAAAAGCTTGATTGGGATGAATGCCTTTCAGCATCATTGACAACATTTTGGCATAATCTTATTGCAGATTTTGAGCGCACAAAGCAGCTGAAATTTCCAAGGCTTTCACTTTCTGCTGGTGTTTCCATTGAAGTGCATGGTTTTAGTTATGCCAGCATAGATGCCTATGGAGCTTGCGTCTACATCATTTCGACCACGCAAGGCCAATCTCGTGCGGAGCTGCTGTGTTCCAGATCTCGTGTGGCGCCACTCAAATCGTTGACCGTGCCCCGACTAGAGTTGTGCGGAGCCGTTTTGCTGGCACAACTCATAAACGAAATATCTCGCATAGAGTTATTCGACTGCAAGTTTTATTGTTGGTCTGATTCTGCAGTAGCGCTATCTTGGATTCGCAGCGAGCCATCCAGGTTTCAAATTTTCGTTTCCAATCGCATCGCAACTATTCAAGAGTTGACCTCTGGCATGGAATGGCGATATATTCCAACCGATTTGAATCCTGCGGATATACTTTCACGTGAAGCATTGCCCAGCGAATTAGTCCAGTCCAACTTGTGGCTACGTGGTCCCGCATTTCTGACGAAAGATAAATCTTCTTGGCCAGAGTCTTGCAATTCCGTCTCATCGTTTCCTGAGCAGCGCTCTAAAGTGCTTGTAAGCACCACACTGTACGAAGACATTGCACAGCAATGCAAATATGTTAACACATTTGGAAAGCTGCAGCGCGTGTTTGCATATGTATACAAGTTCCTGCACCGTGTACGAATTCCTGGGCTATCGGTGGACTGAATCCGTCATGGAACACTGCTGTTTATGCGCTCAATTCAAATGTCTACGCTTCGGGACGAATACAAGGCCTTGCAGGCCGGATACACGTTGAAATCGTCTGGCTCCTGTCTTTCCTTATCTCTGTTTCTCGACAGCTCTGGATTGATGCGCGTTGGTGGCCATCTAAGTAACTCTGCGCTCGACTTTGGAGCCCACCATCCAATTATACTTCCAAGGCGTCATCCAGTCACGCGTTCAGTCATTATGCACTACCATGTCCGTAACCTGCATTCTGGACCTCGTGCATTGCTGGCATCAATTCGGTTGCAGTATTGGCCAATTGGCGGTCGGAAAACAGTGTGCAGCGTAGTCAGCAAATGCACCATTTGTTTTCGAGCCAAGCCTCGTCTTGTGGAGCATGTTATGGCTGACCTGCCAAAGGATCGAGTTGATGCTTC